GCAGAGCTGTGCTGCAGTCACACCTGTATCCAAACAGAGCAATGTGCTCACACCAGGCAGGTATGGTTGGACTGGACGCACCTCACAACCAGGCAGGTAGGAAGAGGGTAGCAGTGCTGCACAGTTTAGTAGAAAAGCAAAAAAAATTACTTGCCAGGGAAGTGTTGAAAGCCCTGCATCTCCTCTATGTGATATACAAAAATCTATACAGTTACTACAGGTAATGCCATGAGGCGTTGAACCAGCTTGATACCACATGTTTTACAAACAGGTTAATTGTTGATTCATCTGAGGGAGGGTAAGGGAAAGCACATCATAAAATCATGGAATAATTCAGTCCAGGGGGCACTTCTGGACCACTTCTTTCAGGTAATTTGGAGCTGCTGGAAGCATTTTCTAGTCAAAGCCAAGAGCAATCTCTCCTGCCACGCTGATTGCTGCTCGTTCTCCTCCACCCAGTGGCCAGAGATTCCAGTCTCTTTTGGGGCAGTTCCAGTCGGGTTTGGTGTGAGGGCTGGCAGGAGCTGCTGGCCACGGGCTGAAGCTGCCTAATGGTGCTTCCCGCTGTCCACAGAGCAGCTCTGGGGTTTGCTCCCAAATAAATACTCAAGTTCCTTCTAGAAGGGGGAAATGGTAACCTTTTTTTTTTTTTTTTTGCAGCAGATTGCAAAGGCAGTAAATGCTGATTCTTTCAGAGCCAACCATGGATTAAGTCCATTATAAAATTAAAACAGATGGAACGCAATTTCACTTACATTACAAAAAAGGACAGGAACCATCTGCAATAAGATTTAGCATTGCAAAGCTATTGTTATCATGTTACCATTAAAACCTTTGATGAAGAGTTTTCTTTCTTTCACAAACTTGTTCACATGAAACAAATGTTTTATTTATCCATCTTCCTAAGATAGTCATATTTTATTAAAAAGATGATGTCTCTCAAAAAACCTCCCTTGGTCCTAGCAGAATATGGCAAAACAAAAAAATGTTGTAAAACTCCCAAGACTGAGACACTGGGAGCTTCAATGGGGAAGATGTAGCAAAATGAGAATTCCCTATCCATTTTCCTCTAAAAAAACATTTCCTTGTGTTTGGGCACAATGTCTGATACTGAAAATAGATAATTAATGAGATAATGGGATACTGCATGTCACCTCCTGTCCAATGGGATTATCTGATGGCTAATTATGGACAGATTGTGATTAATGTGATTATGGATTGGATATTAATCTGATTCTGGATTGATCTAGTTATGTTTTAGTCTGCTCCAAATGGTTAATTGGATCTGAGATAATAGAAATGCAGCTTGCACCAGATTTTGCCACATCAGTTGATGAAGTATCTTTTGATCTGGGTGGGTTGCGAACAATAAATTATTTACAGCTGTTGAGAAAATGACTCTTCCTTAGAATGTAGTCATTCATTTTATTTTTGAGCGCCTTTGAAAACAAAATCAATATCCTTTCTAAAAGGAGATGTTGACAAAAGAAAGGCACGTACATAACTCACAAACAAATGTGACGAAATTAAACAGTGGTTAACCCGGTGGCCTAATGTCTGGTGATGCATTTGAATTGCTATGTGGAGCTTTGGGCTCAATTCTTCTGAGACCAGCAGGGGTTGGGAGCATTGCAGGGGAACAGGGCCCAGCGTTGGGGAAAGTGGTGTTGCACAACAGCTACTGCCAGCCCTGCTAGTGATTAAGAGTCAGCCATGGTAACATGGCAAAGAGAGCCCTTGCCATTTTTCCCCTCCGGATAAGAAAGATTCAGAAAGTTCATGAGTGCAGAAAAGACTTATTGGCCTATCTCCTCTGGTCTCCTTCATACCAGACCATGCAATTGGACACAGAATTATTATTTTTTCCCTCACAATGATCCTGTTAATTTATGGTTGACCTCAGTCGTCTCTCCCAGAAATGCATCTGGTCTTGGTGTCACCTGCCAGTGCAGGAGAGGCTGCCCTCTCTCCCATCCTGCCTGTTGACTACTTTCACTGGAATGGACCCCTAAGTTTAGGTTCAACCCCCAGACACTGGATCTCATTATGCTGTTATCTGCAGGATTAAAGGCAATGGGTAAATTGCAGAGTTTGTAGACTTTACCTTAGACTTTGTGACAGGGCAAGCAGGAGGTACATTAGCCTTTGTCACCAGGTTCTATAAGTGGCCAGAAGGTTCTCCTCCCTAATAGGCTCTGCAATAAAAGTATAAATAAAAAAATAGCAAAAATCAAGCAGGTTCCAAAACACTTAAAACAAGGCCTACTCCAGCTGCTGTGCTTACACAAAAGTGCTATTGACTGAGCAGAAACAGAAAGAAAAAAGGAAAAAGCAACTTTCTTTGAAAAGTCCTTAGAGGAAGGGAAAGAGTTTTTCCCCTGGAGCTGACTGTCCCTGCTGCTGCAGGAATGGCTCGGGCTGGTGTGAGTGGGAATACAGTGGCATCTGGATTCCTTTCCAGCAGTGTAATGGGCAAAAAAATGCAGCTACCCCTTTAAAAAATAATGCTGGTACAACCTGTGAGAGAATGTTACACGTATCTGCATTAACAACAGGGCGAGCTGCATGCAGAAGGAGGTTGGAAGGTCGTAAACCCCATCCAGGTGTCTGCACTGGGAGGGCAGCAGAGCTCTTCTCACCAGCATTGTTTCCCTTGTCCTCCATAAACCATCATCACTCTAGGCAAGACAAATTGCCTTCCAAGGTAACCCCAGCCTTTGCTTTCAGGAGGTTATGAGGGTCCCATTTTGCCTGCCAGCTTGGTAGAAAGGGTTTATTGAACTCCTCAGGTTATCTTGTTATTTAGGAATATGCAGCCTCACTTGTTACTTGACTGGCACATGGAAATTATTAGCAAAGGAGAGTAGTTTATAAAAAATAAAATACCTGGCTGTGGTGGTTTTGTAGGCTCAGTATTAGAAGGGCTGTCCCTGCTGTGGGGTAGCTTTGGGGGAGCTCTTTCCTCTGTCCTGCACTTTGTAAGCAGAGCTTGTGGCGTTGTCCCCGTCCAAAGGTTTCATAAGGCCTCAGGAAGGAGCAGCTGCTGCTCTGAGCCATGCAGGTGATGGTGGTAAGGTGACCTGAGCAGAGCACCAAGCACACCTGTGGTGTCTGTTGGAAAGGACCTTCAGTGTCAGACATGTGGAGAGCAGTCTTTGTGCCAGTGATGATGGGGGCAGAGAGCAGGGCTCTGGGGACACACGCCCCTCCTTGTGTGCAGCTTGTGACTTGGGCAGGGGGTGAGTGCAGGAGGACCAGCACATCCTGAGGGGGCTGAAGCACTCGGGCCCTCTGAGCTCACAGCACTCGGGCACAAAATTTTTCAGCAGCAGAAACTTCTCCTGCTGCTGCTTCCAGGGTGGGGTTTAGTCCTGTCTGGTGTGGGGCTGTGGGTCCTATCCATTGGTTTGGGGGTCCTGCTGAGCTGTCAGCAGGTTGCAGTTGCTTTAACATTATTGGATTTTGACAGATTAGGAGGCGAATCCTTTCGTGTGCTGGGGAAGCTTCCCAAATGAAGCTCTTTTAATTTATCTGAGTCAGCTATCCCCAGGGTGATTGCAGGAGGAGTAAGCTAAGGATGACCTGTGACAGAGGGGACCATCATAGCAGTAATAAAAAAAATTCCTGCTCTTCAATAAATCCCTTAGTCATGAGGCTGTATTAGCTGGATTCCATATGTTTTAATTAGGAATTATGTATTTTAAGAAAACCAAAATCCGATTCTAGGGAAGACATCATTACATATTTGTAGTGGTCCTTGTTTCATTTGGCTTCTGTAGAGATACCAATACAGGTACCTTTTCTCATCTGCAACCATATTTTTAAAAGTTTGAATAATCTATGTTATTATTTTTTTCTTTTCCCCAATCCCAATAGTGTGAAAAAATGTAATTCTCTTTCCAATGCAGAAATTGGGTCAGCAGATCCTAATGAAGTAATCCTGGATAACAATGCACCATACAAGGATCTGCTTCCACTAATTAATGACTAATTTTTCTTTCAAAATACAAAGTAGTAACTTCTGCCTGCAGTAGACAGTGATTCTACTTCAGTGGCATCTGTTTGTTGCATGTTTTCCATTTCTATTATTGTTATGGGAAGGTCAAATAGAAAAAAGCTTTTTGCCATGGTTCAGCTTGTATGGATCATGCTGATATAATCCCTACCTGATTACAGTTATAAGCTCCTAAAACACTGGCCATAAGTGATAAAGACTTCCTTTGTGCTTCAGGCTGTAATCCGCATCAAGCCAGTTTCAATAAGGATTTGTCCATCTGAAGTGTTGCTGAGGATTTGAATCAAAATTATAAACAGAAAATATAATAAAAAGCCTGCCATGTCTCTGAATTGGTGAGCTACACCTTAAAATCTGACCTAAAGAGCAGCAATGTCACTCTGCTCATGAAAATAAGATGTGTGTGCTATGAAGCCAGACGCACAGCAAATGGATCAATTTATTATTGGCTATGATGCATTTAGTTAATTTTGATAGTATCTCACTTTTGTTTTAGTGCAAGGCAGTAAAGCCCCAACTTGAATGAGATCACGTTGATTTTTCTTGTGGTTCAGGGTTTTTAGGTGTACATTTGTTGTAAAGATTTCATCTGCATGAGATGTGCAGGTTGGAAGCTTAGTTTTGGAGCCTAAAATAGGATTATGAAATTACATGCTTTTAATGAGTAAAACACCCCAATTAAAAAGACATAATGGGCAAATTAAGGATGCCTAGGCTGTTCTTATTTTGCCTTTGCTGTTGCATTTGTTGGATTACCTAGGGGGCAGGTAGGGATTTCTATACTGTACAAAACTCCACATCTCTGAAGAGTTACACTGCACCTTAACCATCATTCAAACTGGTGATAAAGAGCCACAGCAAATATTAATCCTCTTTTTAAACCCCTCTCAGGGTGCTGTGGCTTCTGCAAAATGGTTTTCCCCCTCATCCTCATATAAATAGTTGTTTTTTTTTTCACTTGGTCATTTGCACAGAGCAGACGATGCACAGGCAGCTCCAAACACTCATTTTGTTTTCTTCCTTTTTTGGGGACTGAAGGGTGGAGCCAGACCGGGCAGAGGTCAGAGCAGCCCTCGAGCTACTTCAATCCATACAATCAGGCACAGGCCCTGAAGGAGGTTTGCCACCTCCTTCAGCTCTTCCCTTTGCAGCCCTCCTTTGGGCCCTGAGGAGTTAAGGTTCTGCTCTGCGGCCAGGGAGCTGTAATGTGCAGGACAGCTGCTTTTCTTCTATTCTAGAGACATTTGAGATTTGAGACCAAGTAAATTGTCCATTTAGATGCTTGAGTTGCTGGACCTGGTTAGCTTTTGCTGTAAAGCAGCCCTTTTTGGCATCTGATGTGAAAATCACACGGCAGAATAAATTTAAAAGGTGATCCTGTGCCAAGACTGTGGCAAAGTCGAAGAGCCTTTTTGATCAATCTGCCTTTTGCCTTCTTATGCAGCGACCCAGCAATGCAGAACGAATCACTGACTGATTCTTGGAGGAGCAATCCAATGGCCATAATTGCTGGGAGCAGGGGGGGTGGGAATGTTTGGGGTTTATTTACACTCTAAACCACTTCAGGATGGGGAGGAAGAAAGTGTATTCTTGACTATCTTGTGACCTCTGGGATGGGAATTCCATTCTGGAACGTCCCAAATCCATGTGTGCTTGGGGCTTCTGGGCTGGCAGGACCAGTTGCTCCAGTGTGGCAGCTCCTGCCAGCTTCTCCAGGACATCAGGTTTTCAGAGAGCCATAGCACACAGCACAGAGAATTTGGCCTGAAACATTTTGCTTCATTGATTTTTAAATACCACTCCTTGACACCCAGAAATAAATACAGATGTATGGAAAAACAGCAAGTCTCAGTCTGGTCCCTGGATCACCCTGGTGCCATGTAAGGGGCAGGCACAAGATGTCTTGCCTTGATTCTGGGAAATCATAATAATAATAAAATAGATCTATAAATTATTCAGAGCTCATGAGCTATTGCCTAATGTTGCTTGGGGCCAAGCACAGGGGTGTGGGTGAGGGAGCCAGAAATCTGTCGTGGTGAGAGGATGCCACCCCGGGCTCGTGGCACCTGACTGGTCTGAGGTGTGGACAGCGGGTGGGCAGCGCGGTGGCTCCTGCCCTTTGTGCCCCGCGCCCCGTCCCGCGCCCCCTCCGCCGCTCGTGCCGCCGTGCGGGAGCGCGGCCCGGGGACCCGGCTCCGCAGGCGGGGGCCGGAGTCCCCCCGGCTGCTTTGGCTCCGCAGCCCTAAATTGAGACTTCTCCTTTCTCTTCGCAAGGCACATTTCACTGGCTTAGGACAGGATCTGGCAAGGAGCACCGGCATTTGAAGGCATAACTCTGCTCTCTGGTGTTTCCTTCTCTTTAAGGCGGTAACCCTCTGCGGGAGCGGCGCACCGGAGGAGGCTGGCGCTGGTGCCAGGTCAGTGTGGGCTGGGAGGGCTCCGCGGGGCTGGGCCGGCCCCTACGGCAGCGGCAGCTTCGCTCTCGCCCTCCGGCACGGCCCGGACCGTGCAGGGCGGACGGACACAGCCAGCTGTACCGGGGGAGCGTGTGGGGCCAGCCGGCCGTGCGGGGGGACAGCGGGCGGCTCGGAGAGACAGCCGAGCGGAGCGCGGGAGGACCGCCGGCCGTGCGGGAGGGACAGCCGGCCGTGAGGGGCTGTGTGGGGCTCTGAGGGCTCAGGGCCGTGCGGGGCTCTCAGGGCCGTGCGGGAGAGGATAGCCGGCCGTGCGGGACTCGGGGCTCAGGGCCGTGCGGGGCTCTGCGGGGCTCAGGGCCGTGAGGGGCTCTCAGAGCCGTGCAGGGCTCTCAGGGCCGTGCGGAGCTCTGCGGGGCTCTCAGAGCCATGCAGGGCTCTCAGGGCCGTGCAGGGCTCTGCGGGCTCAGGGCCGTGCGGAGCTCTCAGAGCCGTGCGGGGCTCTCAGGGCCGTGCGGGGCTCTGCGGGCTCAGGGCCGTGCGGGGCTCTCAGAGCCATGCAGGGCTCTCAGGGCCGTGCGGGGCTCTGCGGGCTGTGCGGAGCTCAGGGCCGTGCGGGCTCTCAGAGCCATGCAGGACTCTCAGGGCCGTGCGGAGCTCTGCGGGGCTCTCAGAGCCATGCAGGGCTCTCAGGGCCGTGCGGGGCTGTGCGGGCTCTCAGGGCCGTGCGGAGCTCTGCGGGCTCAGGGCCGTGCGGAGCTCTGCGGGCTCAGGGCCGTGCGGAGCTCAGCGGGGCCCAGGGGGCGCGGGGCGGGCGCAGGCCGAGCTCCTCCCGCCCGGCAGCGGTGGTCAAGGGGGTCTCTGAGAGGCCAGAGCCCCGCGCCGCCGGGCTCCGAGTTCTCCGCCGGACTCCCCTCCCACTCCGTCTGTCAAAAATAAAGTTTCCGAGTGGACGCAGGGTGGTCCAGAAGGCCTTTCCAGCGGCCCGGCAGGCAGGAGCTGAGGGAAAGCCAACGCAGGTGTCAGGGAAGTCCTGAACTTCGGGGGTGCTCGCTCGCATCCACCCTTGAGCAGGACAAGCGGAGTAACAGGTGGAGAAACCTTTTAAAGTTTGTTACTGTCAACTCTTAAGAGTACTAGAAGAATATCGGTGGCTCAAGGAGAGCCTTTCGGCGTTATTGCAGGTGAATCCACCGTTTGTCAGTCACACCTGTGCAGAAATGTGATTGCCGTGATTATCTCACCTTGCGGAGAAGCCAGTGCCAAACGCCTGCTGCTTCTGCTGTGTGACCTTCATGCGGCTCAGCTGCGAGCAGTGCTGGGCTTTGGGGGCCCTTTGCTGCTCCGGCTGTCCTGGTGGCCGCCTTACCGAGGTCTAGGTGAACTCAAGGTTAATTGGAGTAGATGATTGATGAGATGTCCCCGAATATCTGTTCAGTTTCTTACTGTGCACTGGGAGATAGCCCCTCCACTAGAACTGTGTATAAATAGCCCTTGTAAACAGCTTTAAGTCTCACAAGTCTCTCTTTGAGCTCTCCAAGGCTTTTACACATACTACAATTCAATACAGCTCTAAAATAGTAATTATGAATATATTAAATGGTTTCAGGTGATAAAAATCTCTTAAAAGATGAGCAGAGGTAGACCAGGTCAGACATGACTGAATTAATCAGAAAATTCTTACTGTTGTAATCATGTCTCAGTTTTCATTAGGCTGCAGCTTTGTAGAGCAAAGGTCTTGATGATCTCTGAATCATACTACTGTGTAAATAGTACTTTACTCTCATGCTCGCTGCGCAATTCAGTTCTATGGCCTGGACGTGTGAGTTCAGCTGCTTGGTTTTCAGACATACACATCAGTAACATTATAAAATAAAGCCCGTAAAACTCTGTGTGCATCTTCAGTGTATGTGTAACAATGTAGTCTGTGACAGAAGTGAAACAAACTCACAGTTTGGTTTTGTTTCACATTTTGAAAAGTGCAAAGTTTAGCCCTGCTGACACTTACAGCTCAAGAGTGAGTGGAGTGTAGAGAAAAGATGATGAGAGAAGCCTGTGGAGTATGAGCAGGAGGGAAGGTTGAACTTTTGTACAACTTAAAGATGGAGGTGTACTGAGGAGGTTTGAGACTGCAAGTGCACAAAATCTGGGTGCAGAGGTGGGAATAAGTGATTTAGGGGCTTCCCTGTGTTTAAATACACTCAGTGTTGTATTTCAAAATAGCTTTGTTGATTTTTATTACTGGTTTGCAAGGGGTGTATTTGGAAAATTTTATTGTGTGTTTTGTCTTTCTCTTGCTGCTTCAGTCCCTTTGTAATATTAAGTCTTATTATGATTGCCAAATCCTTTTTACAAAGTGGTTTTATTTTTTTATTGTTGTTCTTTGCTGCAGTTATAGCTCCTTTTTAATTTGGGTGCCCTTAGTGTTGTTTTTCTAATTAGTGTTTCCTGGAGTTATAGAGCTGTCTCTTAGACCTCTTTTGTAGCCAGGTCTTTAGGGAGGTTCTAGAAGTATATGCTTGAGTTCTCTTCTCTCTCTCTGAGTTTACCAGATTTATTTAGTTAAAGTTTTACAGCTACAAGACTGTGTCTTACTAGAATTAGGCATTGCTTTGTTGTTTAGGAATGTAGCCTTTTATCTTCAGTAACACTCCAATTGCTAGTTTCTGGAGTTCTTTCTTGGGAACTTTGCCCTGTGTTAATGGTTCTCTATGAGATCCAGAATTCCTAATAAGCAGTTTTAAAATTTTAGGTTCTGGCCAGTTTGCTTTTATAGCTAAGAAAATCAGCGTTAGAGATACCATTGTAGATCCTGTTGTTTGGTGCTCTGCCTTGTGAATGTCTGTTTTGGTTTTGTTCCTGTAACTTCCAATGGCTCTTCTAAATAGAGACAAACTTTATTTTCCAGGTGAAGTTTCTAGCACCCTGTTTCTTATTGATGCATATTTGGAGCATGGGCCTATGTAGAGTTCACCTGTTGCATCTCTGGCATTTCTTGGAACAACTTTTTTGCTGACTCATCTTGTGTTGCTGTGCCTGCCACATGTTTTAGTTGGAGCTGATTTCCTAATTCCAGTGTCCTTGGAGCAGGCTGCAGGCAGTTAGCCACCACTGTTGCTGCACACCAATCTCACCAAGCAGCAAGCAAAGACTTACCACACTTCCCTCTAGGTTTTTCCAGCTCTTGATGCAACTGTTTTTTAGCATACAAGCAGCAAATCTGTGAGCAGTGCTGGGCATGTTCAGGTGGCCTGTGTGCTGAAAGACCAAGAGGAGCTCAGTGTGCAGTGCTGTGTGTGATGGGCAGGGCACCCATGCACATCCAGTGGGTGCCTGGAGGTGTGTGGTGGTGGCTTCACCTCTGCACATGTACTGCATGTGCCCAGAGTGCTGATGTTACACTGTGACAGTAGCAGTGACCAATAGCTGGTATTTTGTCTGGAGTCTAGAAATCCAGATATTGTACTTACATTTTTTGTGCTCTGGTTGGAAAATATTGTGGGCTCCTCGGTGGGGAGCAAAACAGTGCTTTGGGGAAACTTGAGACAATCAGTGCAGTGAAACTGTGTCTATTTTGCAAGTGGCTTAATTGATCAATACTGCACATCTGAGTTCATCTTAGCAACTTTTAAACATCTGGAAGTTAGAGGCCAAGTTTGCTCTACAGTTAATACTGGGGAGGGAAGGGGAAGTTGGAAATTCTAGGTGGTTTTCATTCACAAATGTTAGTTTTGGTATAAACTGAGTCACTGTCCAGTTTCCACCAGAGAGGAAGTGCAGATGCTTCTGCTGTAGAGGAAACATAGGCTTGTAACTGTGATTTGTACCTAAACCTGAGGAAAAGAAACTTCCCAGTTCTGCCTCCGTGGTGCTGGGATGTCATTACCTGCTGTCATGCTGCAGAAGCTACTCAGGTGCCCAGGGTGGTGGGATGTTTATCTGGAGGTGATTTCTGTGGGTAGTCTTATTTTCCAGAGCTTGGTTTTCACCAGGAACCTTCCATGGCACAAGCACTGAGTGCTGTTCCTTCTTAAAGCATTGTTTTCAACAGTTTGATTGATTTGTGGGTCTTATTTCTTGTGCTTTCTTTCCTTGCTGCCAGCTGGTTAGGTTTATTCTCTACCTTCCTGTTTTATTGATGCTTCCCAAGCAGACATCCTGCCCAAGAGCAGCAATGATGTCAGTGAAGTGATGGGCTGTTCTCCCACACGTGCAGCTGGACAGTAACTTCATCAAAATGACTGCCTGTCCTATCACTGACCCACGGCAGCTTCTTAGCTTTCAGGACCATCTGACTGGATGAATTACCCTCTGGTTTTACTGCAGATTCTTTATTATAACAAAGTCGGTTTGGTTTTGTTTATTGAGGAAATTATTTCATGTGTCCTAGTATATAAAATTCAGACTCACATAGAAATCTCGTTTGTCATCTAGATTTCTACCCATAATATATAATGTGACTTTAAATTTATTTTGGATCTGGTCTTGTCTTTATGTTCAGAAATGTCATCCATGAAGTGATCTTCTGGTGTGCATATTGTGTATATTCCCACAAATATAAAATGTGGGATTATTGGTTTAGAAATAATACCTGATTAATACTGTAATAGCCAGTCTGCTTAAGCAATTTCTATTGCTCGTATTATTTTTGCTTAAAAACCAGTTATTTCTCAGTTTATTCTAGAATGGTTTAACAGAATGATGGTGCTGGTGCAGTGCTTATTTTGGGGAAAAGTGATAATATAGGCAGAAATAAGTGTGTGCTTAAAATGCGTGTGTCTCCCTTTGGAAATTTGAAAACTTGAGGATTTTCCAGGAGCATGGTCCATTTTATCCCATGGCACAAGTGTAAATCATTGGAGAGTGGGCTTTTTGCCACAAAGGCATGGATTTATTCTTCAAATGGCGACTAAAATTTCGTAACTTTTATTGAAGATGATATATGAAACTTAATCAAAAATACAGCATCTGATCTATAGTGACAGTAAATATTTTGTTACTGGCAATTGGTTTCAAAGGAGCTTATACTATTTAATCACAGCAAGTATAAGCATTATGTTTAACCTGAAGCATAAGAGATTAAATGCAGAGCACTTCTACAAAATCTTATTGTTTTAATCAAAAGGACAAATTGTGATTCAGATTCTGCAAAAACTTATCTTTGTATTTTTATTTGAGCACTGTGATTAGCTTCAGGGAAGTCCTTGGGATTTGCTTGCTGTGTTTGAAATTCAGTATGTTGGTAGGCTTTGTGGGATTGAAGTCCAGATGCATATTTTAGCCTCTCATATTTTCTGAAGCTTTTTTTATTTGAAGTTGTAGGCAGGTACATGTTTGGCATGAGGGGAGATGGGGTTGGTATGTAAATTAAAAAAAAGTAGTGTTTGGCTGTGCATCTTCAGTGTTGTATTAGTATTTGTTCCTTACTTATATTAATTAATTTATTTGGTTTACCATGTGTTCCATCCCACACTGATCACTGCTCAAGTTTTCAGTTGGGCTTTATGTAGGGTAAACAAACGCTTGAGGGACAATATTCCTGTTCCCATCCAAAATGTTTTCTCTACCCTAGTATTAGTCTTGAGGAATAATGCTTTTCACACATAAACCTGAATATCAGAGAGGAAGGTCTCAGAATTTATAATATTTTGGTTTGGTTTTATAGCACTTTTTTGCCTTTTTTATTTTTTGTTCCTTTCATTTTTGCTTTAGAAGCTCAAGTTTGTGTATGGATGGTGAATTGGTCAAAATTGTTATTTAAGGACCATTAAATTGTGGTGCTCAAATGTTTTGAAGGAAAAGAGGGAAAAGTGAACCTGATGCCTGTAAAGGTTTCTTCTAGTGTATTTTCAGGCTGTCAGCTGCTGCTGCTTAATTTCAATGCATAAAATTCTGCCTCTAAATATAAAAGTGGGTTCTGTAGCTAGATTTTGTTTAAAACTTATAATAAAACACTGCCTGAGAACCGCCCTAGAAAACCAAGTAAATATTTATTTGCAACTGTTGATTTCCTTGTCTAATCCTCAGTCTTTAAGGTACTTGGTTAAGTTGATCAACTGGGCTGGAATATAATGTGTTAAAATGTTTTTCTTAATTTTGTTCAGTATTTTCCTGTGGAGTTTCAGTTTAAGCACAGCATGTTACAGACAAGGTGAAGTCAAGGGGGTTTCTATTTTCCTTTTTGTATCACCCTGTGTATTCTCTTTACCTAATAAAAATTCTCTAGAATGAGCCAAGCAGTGTTTTACGACTTGCATAAGTGATGAATTTCTGTAAAGCCTTGGATGCCCCGAGGAACCGGTTTTTGTTTCCATGCTAAGTTTCCCACTGGTGTGTGTCTCTGGCTTTGCAGGCGTCGGTGCTCCGGAGGTGCCAGAGCACCTTGGTGGTGGCAGAACACAACAATGAATCCCTCACCCCCATCACCCTCAACACCATCACTGCAGCAAAGCGCCTGGGAGGAGAGGTCTCCTGTCTGGTGGTTGGTACCAGCTGTGACAAGGTAGGAAAGGCTATTTTCATACCAGTGAAATAAAGAATGCAGTGAAACAACGCTCTCAGGCAGCCTGAAAAATAATCTGTAGTCAGGAGAAACTGTGCCAGGAGTTGCTAATCTGCCAGAAAAGTCCTGCACTTGAAACTGCTTCTCTTCTAAAGAGAAAATACGGATATAGATTTAATTTTACAGGGAATGGTATCAATAATGGTTGTTACATGCTTGAGCAAGCAAATTTTTATAGGACTAAAGGACAATTAACTTTTAAAACAAGATACATCTCTGTAAAGTTTGAACGACAAATATTGCAGTGCTAAGAATTTGGAAAGAAGCTTTTGCTTGTTTAAATGGAAACCAGTAGAAGTGAAACAACAGTGATAAATTGGGCTTTTGAGCAAGTTGCTGTTACTAAGCAATCAGTAGTTGTGTGGAGAGTGTTTGCAACCTGAAATTCTGAAATTAGTGCTTTTTAACTTTATCATACTGCTCATGTATGTAAAAAGTTCCTTGTACGTTAGCTGTGCATTTCTAGTATAATTTTGATGTGCCAGTTCTAGAGACAATGTAGTACATTAGTGACACTTTTATTCCAGCATGACTTGGTATTGTGTGAGCAGTAGAAGTACAAAAAAACTGTGCCTAATATTTGCATACTGTTTATGCACTGTTATTTTGAAAGCAACATGTAGTATCTCATGAAGAAGGCATACTTAGGGCAGCTTATTAACAAATAGGTGGAGAAACCTCAGTAGGTGTTCGAGGTGGAGATGAAGCCAATATTTATCTAAATCAAGAAAATAAAAAATAAAAAAAAAGAAATAATTACCTGACATGTGTCTTTAATTTTCCTTATTCTATGCACTTGCGTAGGAGAAAAATGATTGTGAATGTTTTGTTTGTTTGTTTTAATGCTAAATATATGGAGTCTGTATGTTATGGTGGGAAAAAGTATTTTATAAAAAATGAAGGTTTAGAGATTTTTATTTAAGAGCCAGTGACTGAAACAGATATTCTGCAGCAGCTACTAGGGATTTTTTCTTTATTTCCTTTTGTTAATTTTTGAGGGTAAACTGATACTCATCAAACTCAGTAAAACTGCAGTGTTTCTGGACGATGCATGTGGTCTCCAGACTTCGCTGTCAGTCCTCTTCTCTCTGATCTGTAGTAACCCTTTTATCATTTAAACTTCACTTGTGCCAATTCAAACGAAAAAAAGTGCATAAATATAAATTTAAATACGCATTGCTTCAGTAGGCAAAAAGTCAGATGGAAACAAAGGGTTGCTCCTAGAATTTGAACAAAAATCATAACAGCATTGTACATTTGTATTTGTTTGTCTGGTAGATACTGACTGAACTTAAATAGGAATTGTTTCTTGGTCGTTGTATTGGAGTACTGAGCAATAATCCTCAAGTGTGGCTGTTGCTGGCTGCTGTAAGAAATGCTGGGATTGCTGTGGAGCCCTGCATGCAGGAGGCAAGTTTTCCTGAGGCTGATTTGCTCCGTAGTTCTCTTATTCACACATTCATTTTCATTATCCCATAAGGAGCTGTGCTGTGAATCAGAAGACCTGCATTTTATTCTGTTAAGGTCTGTTCTGATTTTGGAATTCATGTACATTTGGTTCTGGTTTTATGAATCTGTAGGCTGTGAGCTATTTGCAGTGGGGACTCCCTTGTTATATGTTTGTGGTGCCTGTTAAGCACAAACTAATAATAATTCACTTGTAATCACAGGTAGCATCAGAACTCAGCAAAGTGCAGGGTGTTGCAAAAGTTCTCGTGGCTCAGCATGATGTGTACAAGGGATTTCTAGCAGGTGAGAGTTGTTCTTACCTATTGACAAAAGAAATGTATTTGTGTATTTGTGTTTGTGATTGAAAATAAGATGGTTGTAAATGCTAAGCAGTACATTTTTATTCTCAGAGGAGCTGACTCCCTTGATTGTGGAAACTCATAAAAAATTTAATTACACCCACATTTGCGCTGGAGCATCTGCCTTTGGGAAGGTGAGTAGATGAAAGAGCATCAAAAAGTTCTTGTAGAAAAGAGACAGACACTGCTGTATGTAAGAGTGTGAATCAAAGGCCTGAGAGAGATCAGCCATGGACAGTTCTGCATTTGCAAACTATTTTACAGTAGTTTGCTTAAGAGGTCATTAGATTTCATGATTTATGTTTGAGTTCTTTTATGAGCTGATGTGAAAAAAATAGCATAGAAGAAATATTCTGTGGTAACCAGCCAATCCTGTGGACACAAGGCAAAATGTGCAATAAGGCAAAGCAGCTTAAGTGATCTGAAAGCATGAAAATTGTAAGGAAAAGCACAGCAAATTGGGATGAAAAATCTGTTATTTGCGTGTTGAAATGAGAGTGTGCAAACCTATTGGAAGCAAACTTTTTTTGAGTGGGATTTGCATCTGTGAGATAAGTCATGTACATTGAAATGTCTGTAAACATAAATAAATAACACAAATCTAAGTTCCAGCCAGGATGGTTTTTAATGAAAATACAATTTTTCAAAACCTTTTTTTTAAATGTGTTTGTAAGTACATGGAGAGCCTCAGTACTAAGAATCTGGGCAGCACAGTGGTGCAGAAAATTCGAGCAAAAGGCTCCTTGAGAAATCTTGCCGATGCAGGACGAGTACTGAGATCGGCCTTCCATCTGCCTGCTTTCACTTCCAATCAATAGCAATCCCCACGCTTGTGTTTTTGCTAAGAGAAATTAACCTTAAGTTTTAAATGTTTTAATTTTTTTTCTTTTTCTTATCTGCAGTGTCATAGTAGGAATTAATGGCTTTTGCTTTAAAGCTTACACTGCCATTTTTGAGTGCTTCATGTGAGTGAAGATTTCAGACCTGGGTCTTTTTGTCCTGCACCAGATTAGGAGGCAGACAAAAAGCAAATAATCATCTTATCATTGATTTCTTCATAATTTCTGCTGCTCTTTTTATCCTTCTTCCCACTCCTAAAGGTGCTAAGTAATTTTCTGGAGTAAATTTTGGAGCAAGAGAATATATACTTTAATAATAATTTTTTTTTTTTAAATTTTTTTTGCTTTGGAGGGAAGAGTGCAGGGTGTTTTTCCTATAATTTCTGGCATCTAACTTCTGAAAGCACCATTTTTTTTCCCTTGAAGTGCCAAGAGCTCAACAATCCTTAACTGTCCATTTTCTGAGTAAATGGCATCTATATTCAGTTTTAGAATATTTGAAGCAAATAAGTCTCCTAATTTAAGATATTGAATTACGGGTTTACTTACAGTAAGTCTCATAAAATGTCTAATGTTATTACAGTAATGGGGCTTTATTTGACTGCTAAAGCTACATGAGTAGCCCTTCAAAAATCTTAGTTCTGTATCTCTTGGAGACAGCATTATATGAAATCGGGTCAGCAGTGTTCTTTTACTGACCATGTACATTTTAGTTAGCTTACTTTGCTAACTTTTTATCTCTAATTTCTAGAATCTTATTCCCAGAGTGGCTGGCAAGCTTGATGTTGCCCCTGTTTCTGACATCATTGAAGTTAAGTCCCCAAATACTTTTGTGAGAACTATCTATGCAGGTGGGTAATCTCAAAATCTGTGTGGTATTTGTCCAATGAAGAATCCAGTAGTGGTAATTTTTCTACATGGTCCTGATGTTAAAACCTTGGAATGTGATAGGAATTTTCCCTTTACAATCTCAATTGCTGTGATTAATAAAAAATGAAGCCTGGGGATGGACACAATGCTCCCTGTGTGAGAAAGCAAATAATTCCAAGGGCTTTGGTAGAAGCATGTCAGACCCATGTCTGTCACCTTAAGGAACAGAATTTGGTCCCATCCTTTCCATGTACTCTGTTTGTTCTGATCAGGTTCTGGAAAGCATAAGACATCAGGTTAATTGTCCAGCTTTATTTAATAGGACTAGCATTAGTTCTGATTTAAGATACCACAGGGTTATTTTTTCTAATTACGAAGACATTGAATGGATTATTTCTAATATTTAATTACCTTAATTTGTGATTATTTTTTTCAGTCCTGTTTCCCTAATGCTTGGCTGACACTGTGTTTTATTTTAGATATTAGCTCATTAGCTTCTGTTTCTTAATTTTACTGTAAAGATTGTACCACATGTACCAGCAGGGTATCACATTTTGAGTTATGGTACTAGAATGTGGTTTAGTGCTGCACTTTAAGTTCCTTCCCAGTAACTCACAGTTTCAAGGTGATTTAGTTTGTGAATAGTTGAATGTTTATGAATGTTGCAGCATTTTTTCTTTTAGCATTCCCTGCAGCCTTCAGAAGTATTATATTATATTGTAGAGAGAAACACAGTCCCACAGATAACTTGAGGGAGGCCTCATTGTCTTCAGTTCTGACAAATTCATGCAACAGGATTAAAGATCTACTTTGAATTGTAGACATTCTTTATGTGTAAGAATGGCATTTTCAAAGTTGTTTTTTTCATTCCTTCTGAAATTTAAAATCTTACTCATAAGAGATTATATGAATACTTGGTATCATTTGAAAATAGAGGATTTGTATTCATCTTTAGAAACACAGGGCTAAAACATAAATGAAAGTATTAGTAATCTCTATTTATTAAGTGCTAAGTTTTAGTCATCTAAAACTGCAATTTTGGAAGTACCTTGGCGGATGTTGCATATTCTGGTACAACTGCTAATGTGGTTTTGATTTTTTTTTTTAATTTTTTTATTTTTTTATTTTTATTTTTTAGGAAATATTATTTGCACTGTGCAGTGTGATGAAGCAGTCAAAGTGTTTACTGTACGGGGAACTTCATTTGAGGCTGCACCAGCAAGTGGTGGTAGTGCCAGTGTAGAAAAGTGTGAGTATTTGTTCTGGGATGCTCTTGTTTTGTTCAATAGAGTTAGTTTTGCTCACTGCCTGGTGGTGTTTTGCAGAAGTATTTGTCAAAGCAAACTGATTGTCATAATGTTAGCTTTATGTTTTTAATTACAGGTTCTTGCACTTTTTAGTGATGTCTGGTAAGAGAAGATAGAGATTATCTGCACAGTTACTTCCTTTTCTTTGACCAGAACTGGAGACTATCTGTGCTGAAATCCGTGCTTGTTCCACTCGCTGCCTAAACGTCTGCCTCTGCAGTCTTGAAACTATAAGAAAGGACAAGTTACAGCTGTTTGAATAACCAGATTGGTTTTCAAAACAAGACTGAGCAAAAATAGGAGTGTTTGGCTCTCTGCAGTTTTGGTTTAATCATATTGCAGTTGAGAAAGGGCATTACATCATCAAGCTAAATTAGTGGCAGTTTAAATTGATTGGAGAATACAGGGTTTTATATCAGTTTTAACTATATCAGTTCAATTTAACTAATCAGTACAATTTAATGAAGCCAGTGTAGCTCTGATAATTGAGAAATCCAGTCACAGAATGACAAAGTATTTGAGGTTGGAAGGGATCTCTAGAGATCATCTAGTCCAGCCCCATGGAGCATGTTGCCCAGAACTGTGTCCAGTCAGGCTTTGAGAATGTCCACAGGTGGAGACTTCACAACTACTGGGGTAATGTTCCATTTTGGTGATCTCTCCTGTTTTTCACTGTGGGCCTTTTTGTTTTGTGGCTTGGTCCCTGCCTCTGACCATCCTGTATTTCCTAACGTCTGTGGGTGGCAGAAGTCAAATGTTACTGAATTGCTGTGTTTCACTGCTGGTGCATTGCCTGACTGACTTGTCTGCCTGTGACAGGAAGGCTCACACTTGTTGTGCTGGGTTGGTGTCAGTGTGTGGCACCTGTGCAGCAGGATTCCTTGTGCTGCAGTTTGTAGTAGGTTCCCTGAGCACAGCTGGTGGACGAGGCTCATTCCTCAGGGCCAGGAGCAGCTGCTGGGACTCGGCAAAAGCTCGCGGCAGAATCGGTTATGAATGAGCTTGGAACTGAGCTTGAGCTCAGGTTGCACTTGAACACACATGCTTTGTCCTTTTCCTTGTGGGTGCCTGGCCCGTGTGGTGACTGCAGTGACGCCCCCCGCGCCCGTCGGGATCTCGGAGTGGATTGAGCAGAAGCTGACCAAGAGCGACCGGCCGGAGCTCACCAGCGCCAAAGTGGTGGTGTCAGGGGGTGAGTGACCACAGGGAAACTGGCTGATGTTGCATTGCAGTAATGGCACCTCCTGGTGAATCATGTCTGTAATGTGATACATTGGGAAAAAAAAGGAAATTATGGTGTAATTCTGAAATATTCCATGGGGGCTACTGGGGAAGCACCCAACATGTGTTTTGTAAAGAGGTAATACACGAGTCTAGCATATGCTGGGAGGCTTTGTAAGAACATTTTCATATTTGATGAGCCTCTTTAAAATGTTAGCAATATTAATTGTTTTTTAGATGGAAATGTATAATGTTTTTTCATATATCAAAATTCCTGCTGATCATGTCAGTCAGTCTGAACATTATTATGTAATGACCTTAATGATTTTAAAACCTGTATTGATTGTATTCTGCTCCTTAGGTATCAAGTGATGGACTGTGATTTTTACTGTATGCCTACAGCTAAAATGATTTCTTACTAATTTCACTACAGTATTTTGTTCATGAAGCCAGCAGAGGGAGCACAAATTAGTTAAAAAAATTCTGTTTCCTTGGTTTTGGAGAATGACCTTGATGGTGCTGTGTGCAGGAAGTAAACAAGACAGAGTGGTGTTGCTTTATACATATGAAATATTAATGGCAAAGACAAAAGCTAAATCTCCAAATATTAAATACTGGTTAGTAATGTATCCAAAAATACCCTTTGCAACCATATCTTTGTGTCTTTGCAAATGCTCATACTCGTACAGAAGATTTACATAGGCAAAAAAAAATCTTAAAACACATGTTCTTCTTTCTTGATCTTCTTTTGTTCTTAACTTTAAGGGCGGGGCTTGAAGAGTGGTGAAAATTTTAAGTTGTTGTATGAACTTGCGGATCAATTGAATGCTGCAGGTAAACTTGTTTTCCTCCTTTTTTTTTTTTAACCCTATTTATTATATTTAAACAGGTCACATTAAAACCAGAATTCATCTTAGGTCTTTTATTTTCATATCTCTATCAAATAGTTAAAATGCTCTTAGTTTAGTTAAAGTTTTGTCAACTCTACTTAAATGCCTGTGTGTGAAGCTAAGTACTAACCTGTAATATTCCCTGTGCTTCTCAAATCTCCAGAACAGAAGCTTGCAAACAAAATGTAGTCGCAGCTCATGTTGAAGAGCTGATACTTTCTGCATACATCCTTTTCTAGTGTTTCTTAACCCAGTCCTCCTCACATTGTTGTAGTTTGAGTGGCTCTGTCCTTTTGCTGTGCTTTTGTGTTAACAGGAGAAAATCAACCATTTACAATGTTTCAGTAAAGTATTTTCTATAAAGGTTGGGAAAGAAGGAGAAATGGTTTGCGCTAATGTTTTGATTCCATTAATTTTAGCATTCACATGATTTGCTTAGTTTTTAAAGTGGTGTTTTTGCTAACTAAATGTCCATATGGAATTTTTGAGTTTACTTTGTTATTTTTCTTTACCATGCCTGACTTTTGAGATTCACAGCAATACAAGATAGCACATATGTTGCATTCAGACTTGAAGGAACATTTTGGGAAGGCATTTATGGGAAAATCTTCTTTTGACAAAGCAACAAGAAAAAATCATGGAAATACGCCAGATTGAAATCCTTGGTTAAATATATGGCCCTTTGGTGCTGGGAGTAGGGATTTCCTGTTGCTTATGAAGTGCATTAGCACTTAGTATTTGGAAGTTTTTAGCTAGTGGTATAGAGAGGGATTACCGTAAGAGCTTTTAAGAGGGAGGTTTTTAAATATGTGCCCTTAGAGTGTGGGACTCCTCAGTAAAATACATGGGCTTTTATGGTGATATAAATTTGGCTTGCAAATATTTTAAAAGAAAACATTGAAATTATTTTCTTTCAACTAGTTGGAGCTTCCCGTGCAGCTGTTGATGCTGGCTTTGTTCCTAATGACATGCAGGTCGGACAGACGGGCAAAATTGTAGCACCAGTAAGTATGGAAATATCTCTCATCATAGAGCTGGGATGCTTCTGGCATGCATTTTCCTTCAGAAAGCACCTAGAGATGAGCTGAGTCTTAATTCCAGGCCTAACAGGAACATCAGCGTGCCCACTGTGATACTGTCACTTGTAACATTTTGTGTTTACAAAATGACAGAAGCAAGCTGTGATGGAGATCTCTGCTTTGGGTGAATGGGATGTGTTCTGACACAGCTTTGTTAGGGGTTTGCATGCTGCATTTTTTTCATAGCTACCTGAACCTTTTTTAGCTTCCTAGCAGCTGGCATTGATATGCTAAGACATGTCATTACTGACATAAACTCAAAATTACATCAATCCGTGGCTTGATCTCTTGTAGTTGTGTGTTCTGGGTTTTTTCAGGTGATGATTGTTAAAAAACTTTTAGTAGCTGTTACTGAATTATTGCAGTACAGTCAAAGCAAAATTTTTGTAAGAAATGAAAGTGCAAGAAATTGAAGAGAGGAATAATCTGCAGATTGGCTGCTGTAGAGTGGAATACCAAGAAGGATGTACTCTGAATGGCTCAGTATTGGGCAATAACATGCTGCACATATTTTTCTGCTATTTCTGCATCCCTATATCACAGGGCTGTGTCTTTTGTGTCTGTGTGGGGCTTTCTGTAGTGCAGAAGTCTGAGACTTCTTTCATTGTCCTTCATACCCGAGGACATGCAGGAAAGCTGTAGCCAGGTGAAGCACATTTGGGTGTTTGTGAATAGGAGGTACAAATGTAGCTCAGCATGGGGCAGCACTCAGATCTGCTGCTCTGTCAGGGCTACACTGAGCTCCACGGTGGAGTAAAGCTTTTGCCCCTCAGTAAGCAGCTCTTTGTGTATGGCAACAGAAGGCACCAAGGAGCAGCTTTTTACTTGTTAGTGGCTTAATGAAACCAGAAAGGAAGAGTGAGCTGAGACTTGATAGAAAGACTCATCATATTTCAATTGCTGCATTTACCAAATTGTAATAATTTAAATAATACTAAAAAGCTCTGCATGTTCAAAGCCTTGATAGGATCCTGAAATGTTTTGCCTTTGCCATTGCTGCAAATTTAAGAAATTCAAACCGTGACCATTATTTTTCTAGTAATATATCCAGCAGGATAGAGTAATACTTGGATGTCAAAGACAGGAACTTGTGATTCTGTTGTCAGCTCTGTCTGCTGGATTTTCTTGAACAAGATGTTCCATGGTTCTGATTTCTTCTGTCTTGAGTTGTGGATGGTTCTGTGGATTATAAATACCACTCCAACTCTTTATGCTTAGGGTATAAGCTAAGTGTCATTTAAATGTGTATTTTTAAAGGGCATGAGATGGGGGCTGTTTGCTACTTTTTTTGAAGTCCTCATCAGAGGCCATCTGATGATGACCCTGTGGGCCTGAGTGGAGCTATTTCTAGACATGCTAGTGTTTAAAGCTGTAAATCTATGTGATAACCAACTGCTACAAAACACTCCTTCTGAGAAATAGACTTGATAAGACTAAGGTAATTCCAAAATCTTGATAGCAGTGATATTAACCTCTGCTGTGTAAGGAAATTGGGAGGTTCTGTGGATTATAAATACCACTCTAACTCTTTATGCTTAGGGTATAAGCTAAGTGTCATTTAAATGTGTATTTTCAAAGGGCATGAGATGGGACTAACCATTCTTAGTTCTTCTCTACCTAAATATCCATTAATGACGTGGAGAATATTAATTTGAAGACAGCTCAGCTCTGGTTTGTGTATTAAGGCTCAACAATGAACATTCTTTCCAGAGTCAAGGGCATATAAACAATTATGTTGAAACAAAAAAGGCTGTTTTTTGATGATGATACAATGCTTTATTTTGCCACAGATGGCCCATAGCAACATGTGAGAGTAGTAAGAGCATAAAGCCACATCATAGGATCACATCAGTGTTGTCATTGTCCTCTTCTAGAGGACAGAATATTTAACAAAATAGTCTTTAGTCAGGAGTAATGAATGAGTGTTAAACTCTGGTGTCATAAATGATCTGAACTGGCACACTTGTGTGGTGCTCTATTTGTCTGCAGGCTGATGCATTTTTCTCTCATCTCACTTCTTAACAAGTGTTCATTAAGTAGTGAGTTGTGCAGAGTACTGGAAATTATATTCCTCTTCTTTCAAATGTCAGATATTTAGTCTGGATCTTAAAATACATGCAAGGATAGAATTCAGTGCCTTAGAAATATAGAAAATATGGAATGTTAATTGTAATGGAAGTACAAGTTGAATTGATACTAAGCCCACAGAGCTGCTGAGTAGAGGTTTTAATTTTTCTGTATGTTGGGTAGGCATCTTAAATATGAACTAGTTGAAAGCTGCAAATTCTTAATTTAACATTCCTAATTCTACTTCACTGTCTTTTTGGTACTTCAGCTAGAAAATTATTCTCTGCAGTGGAAAATAGAGTTGACTTGAAGAAGAACTGAGCTCTTTTTGTCAGGTCAAGATGACACTGGCTATTTTAGCAGTTCTCAGAAGATGCTTTCTCCCTGTGTGAGAGGTGCTCGGTGTCAGTTCAGGGAGAGCTTGTGATGTTCTGTCTGGGGAATTGCAAAACAGGTTTGAACACTGGGCAGGTAAGGTGGCTGAGACCTGAGTTTTGTGTTCAGTTTTGAGCTGACATAGTGTGTGCCCTCTGGGTGTGTGGGTTTTAAGCAGGGGAAGAGTCTCAGACACAAGAAACTCTGGAGTCTGAGCCAGGCTTTTTCTCCTGTGCAGCTGTTGGCTTCTGATGGGAAAGGATCTTTGTGTGTGCTCTTACACTTCTATTAATAGTCTCAGTCTCAGTGGAGGAGTGGAATGCATTGTTTTCCAGGACTCTGGAATTGGGTCAGCTTGAGACTGCAGAGGGACAAGGGTTAGTTCCAAGCTCAGGAAGAGGGGAGGTGCTTCTGCTGCTTTTTCTGTGTGACTGCTGGGGTGTGTTTGTGCTCATCCCTGGGTGATAACATAACTGCAAGGGCTGCTTGTTCCTTCCCCGTGCCTTCCGTTGTGCATTTGGGGAAGGAAGGGTGGTCTTGGTCATTGGTCCCTCATAATTCTGTCACTGGCTTCACTTTTTGAGAGTGCAGCCCAGACAGTGCATCACAGAACCCAAGAACCTCACAGCACAGCAGCTTTCCAGAATGTTGAGGTATTAATACACAAACACACTGCCACTCCAGGGGCAACTGGAGATCATGTCACTGAAGTGATGGAGGAATGCAGTTAATTAAAGAGCACAGATTTCACCTTTTGTCTGTTTGAGCCCTAGTTCTACACAGCACATCTGCTTTTCCAAAGTAGCCTTGGTCTGGTAAACTTCAAGGTGTTGTTCATGTTGGTGTTTATGTATATTGTTGGGTTTTGACTGGATCTTTGGCAATTTTTCTTTTGTACAATTTTAGTCCAGTTGTTAAAATAGTCAGTGTATAATTTTTTTTCTGTTTGTACATTTTTTTTAACCTCTTGCTTTCAGGTGATTGCAGCTCCTATTTGAACATTCTGTCTTATGAAAGAGAAGGCTGATTTGTATTGTTTGATGAGAGGGAAGGAAATTTTTAGACATAAGTGGATATATTAAAATACAAAATGTTTTCTTCCTAATTAAAAAAAAGCAGTTTAGTATATTCAGTGTCTTTAATCAGTGACAGTCATTTTAGCATATTTTTTACACTTAGAAGCCAGTTTTTCCCACTATTTCCCACTATTTCTTATATTTCTTATATATCCCACTATTTCCCACTATTTCTTCCTGCATATAAGAAATAGTGGGAAAAGCACCTGCAGAAAAATGAAATTTGATTCTCAGGTTAAGTACTGTATGTAGTTTCTGTTTAAGGAAAAAGAACTTGTAAGAATGTTAAAATTAGCTGAGTTTGGATAAAAATATCCTTCCTGTGAGTGCTTACTACTAAATATTAATTAAGTATATCCAATTAGAAAATACTAACTGGATATACTTAATTCAAGCCTAACACCATTACCCCAGAGTAACTCCATTTTTATGTAAGAAATTTCAAATAGTCAGGGGTGTTACTTTCCACAGTAAAAATCTTCCCAGTTCTTTCTCTCATGTTCACAAAGAATGAAACAAGAACAAAAAAGGTGTGGAAAAGAAAGAAAGAAAGTAAAAAGTGTTTTTTTTCAGTTATTTAAAACTGGTAAATGGAACATGAATGCTTCATTTATTGGTTCAGTATTAGCTTTCCTTGCCCAAGGCGTAATTAGCAACATTTCTAACATGCAGAACAGTATGTAATCTGTCTCAGGAACTTGTTTGTCTGATATTCAACCAAAAAAAACAAGTCTGACTTGTGAGAAAGGAAAGCAGCTGCTCTGAACCTCTCCTGGCTCCTGTGGTTGCTGTGGCTGTGCAGTGCAGGCTGGCAAGGAGGACTGGGGGCTGATGGGCTGTGGTGGGGGTCCAGTGCCCCTGAGCCAGCATTCCCAGGGCTGCTGGGGATGGGTGGGACCTGGGCACTTCTCTGCAGCACCCATGGTCCAGGTGGGCAGTCCTGCACTGCAGTGCCACCTGGCAGCTGTCTTCAAATGCCCAAACTGTTGCCATGGTTTCCCAGATTTTCCCTTGCAGCCTATTCTAATTAATTATATTCTTCCCTCAGGGTTTGAAGGAAGGTGGGCTTGTACTGGGATTATCTCACACTCAGCTTCTTGTCCCCAGAAAACAGCCAGAACCTCAGTGACACTGAGAGGTGCTTTTTTGGCAAGTGTGTGTGTATATTGTTATCCTCTGACCTTGTGAAGGATCAGCTGCTGCCTGAAATATGTTCTTCTAATTTAATCTCTTCAGAGTTTAAATCTTCACTCTTCTAAAACTGGTCCTCTTTCAGGGTCTAACACTAGAACTGCCTTAGTTTCTGCTGTAGGATTTCCTAGCTGGCAAAACAACTTTATTTTTTAATTTAATTTTTTTAAGGTGTTCAGTTGCTGCTGTCTTGTTACTTTCAGCATTGGGTATGAA